TGTAAGTGTGTGTGTGTGAGTGTGTGTGTGTGAGTGTGTGTGTGTGTGAGTGTGGCACATTGTTCATTGCAACGCCCTATTTGGCCCAAGGGGCTGCTGACTTCGTTTATGTTTTTTGTTTTTTTGTTTTGCGTATTTTTGCACGCTCAGCGCAAAAAATATTCCCAAATGCCAGTGAATGGAAAAACGCATTAATTACGATTTTCAGCATAACAAAAAAGAAAACCAAAAAAAAAAGAATGGCAAAAAAATGAAGAAAAAAGTGATTACCCGGGAACTATCGAATGCTGGGACCATAACTGGATTCCATGAAATGGGGTGAGTTTTGGATGAATCGGGTTGCCATTCATCTGCTATTTCTATTCGTGCTGGTTTACCGGTTGATAATGCGCATTATAATTATTCTTTTTTTGCTTCTTCTTCTTCTTCGAACCGATTATTTTGACGCATTTGTGAACTATCTCGAATCTTGTGTTGAGCAGAGAGAGATAATGCGCCATTATTGCCCAGCTCAATAATTGCTCGAATAATTTGTAAATCAATTAAGTCAACTACCAAAAGCGTAATGCTTCCATTAAAACAATTGTCAGCGTAAAACAAGTGAGAACGTTGCCGACTGCGAAATACTTTAATATCATAAGTAAATCCAGCTGATAAGTGTTTTTTTTGTGATTTCTTTCTATATACCTTTCAAATAGACTGATTCTAGCTTTCAAATTGTGTGATATATATTCGTTTATCGATTTGCAATTATCGATCTTATCGATTTACTAGCCACCTAGTGCACTTTGCACACGAATTTCTACACTTTGTCGGACAGACGGACAACAAGGCCAATACTCTATGATACCTTCGAGCATTAGCATTATTATAATAGCCATGCGACAATGTGATTTGACTGCCTAATTATGCAAAGAAATTAATTATTGTTAGAGGAACGAACACTTAAGCTTTAATCTAATTTATGAACATTCGATCTGGTTGTGAAAGACTGCTTATGCAATACCCCTTATTTCTGAGCGGGTTCAGGGCAGCTGGCACGCTCTGTTGCCGTACCGTAAAAACCGGAAGCAAATAAATGAAAATCGACAGTTTCTAAATTAACCGGTGCAATGATAAAAACACAAACGAACAACTCAAATTGTCATTAAAAAAAAAAAACACAAAAAAACAAAAAACAAAACTAGTGGCAAATGTGGAAGAGCGGGAAGAGAGGGGAGGTAAACGCATTGAAGCGAGGGCAAAAAACCAAATACCACAAAATGGAAAAAATAGACTGACAGAGGGAGAGGGATAGAGAGAATCAGAAAATAAAAAAAGAAGTAAAATATGTCCATGCTGCAACTGTCGCTAATTGCTGGGTCAGGGGTTGAGCTCGAAACGGGACGGGCTTTGTTGCCCAGGAAGTCGTTCAAAATCAAGCGAAACGAAATTACTTGTCCCGTTCCCCGTTCCCCGTTCCCGTCCCCTATTCCCCTTACCATCCTCGAGCTAATGCTGACAGTTGGCCACAGTAGACCACAGCAAGAGCGAGCCAAGTCAAGGCGAAAACCCGAAAGGGGCGAGGCGAGACGAGACGCAAAGGCTCATTAGCATTTTTTGCTGGCTGTTGCTTTATGTACATTATATCCACAGTTGCTGTTGCTGTTGTTGTTGCTGTTGCTGTTACTGGTCTTCTTCTTCTTGTTGCTTGTTTTGTTTTTTTTTTTATTGATAAATTATGCAGTCGCACTTGCGGGCTGTAAATCGTTTGATAACACGCAACTTGGCTAACGGAAAGTGCCAAAAAAAGAAGAGCTAAAATAAAAAAAGGAGTCCAAAAGAAAGACAAAACATGCATATACGACTATGTAAATGAAATGTCTGTTAAAATGTTAAAATGGCTTTTCTTCTTCTTTTACCAATACACCAATATGGAGTTTCTCCTTTAAGACAGTTTGGCAAACTGTCAAGGAGACACAGGCACAGGCAACTCTGCTAATGATTAGAGTTGTCATAGAAATTTACTAATGATCACCTGAGAGAAAGTGGAAAAGTAATCAGTAATTAAGATTGAAATCTCTACAATATCAAATTTCTATTTTTATAAAATTGTTATCTGAAATCAATTCGTATTGAGGCGAGTTGCTGACATTAATGCAATCAAATTGATCTGCTCGTGAAATACGAGAACTTATGTTCTAAATTCCAAGTCTTAAGCTCTTATAGCATTTTATAGATAGATTTACATCAGCATTAGCATAGTTAGACTCGGCTGTTGGTTCTGATCAATTACGTATATACTTTATGGGTTCGGAGATGCTACCTTTCCCAGCTAATAACTTTTGCACCTTTGAAAGGGGTTAAGTGTTTATTTTCTCCAGTGTAAGACCAACTATTGCTTGTATTTATCACTGCAGACCTCCAGATCCAGTAGAATGCAATCAATGATTGAGTTGATTTTATTTGCACTTGCAAATCACTTGCTGTGATTGTGTTTGACTTGTTTAATAAAGTTGATGATTCTGGCTATAAAACTAATTTCAAATTGTTGTACATTTTTAGGGTAATTTGTTGATCATTCTTAAGCGGAGGTAAGCAGTTCACTAGAATACAATTACAAATGTAAATTTTTACTAATCTTTGAAAAATGTCCGAGCCGCCCCGAATTCTTAATTGGGTTTTTAATCGATTCCTTTCACCTTCTTCGTTCTATTGAGCGTCTTTCTATTAATTGCTCAGCTGCTCTCTCAGCGCCAGAACCTTGTCCGCCGTACACCTCAATGGCTCTGAGCTGGACATATGTCTCCAGGCAACGCATCTTCTTGGCCAACTGCAGCATAAGGCGATTGGCGCGCGTAGTGAAGTCCAATGCGACATTGATGGCCTCAACGAAGTTGAACCTCCTCGGTTAGCCGTCTCCTATCTGCCTCGCTGATTCCCAAATCCGGTTGCTCAGCAGCGAAGGCGACGATCCGCTCCAAGAAGTTGGCATTTGATTGAAGTAGTCCACTGAATACCCATTTGAAGAGCAGATTGAATGCTGGAGCACATCAAGTCACATGCAATCACTTATTTTTATATACTTATTAAGTAGACAAGAAAACCATCGCATTAAGGCTAGCTAAAATCCTCTTACAGCTGCGTAAAAAACTGTCTTATTTTGATCGATTAATGAAATAAATTAACATTTGCCTTTTTATAAATTTCAAAGACAAAATTAATTGAATATTTATGCGACAATGCTTGATGAGAACTGTGTCTAGTGTCTGGATGACAGTGAAACTGATAGATTTTATATAAATTTGTGAAGATTGACAAAATTGTTGGGGCAATACAATTATCAAGGATCTGATGACGCAAAACTCTTTACAATTCATCAATCAGATCTTCAAGAAGCTCAAATACTCCGAAATCTCAATTTGAAAAAATAAAAATAAATAAATGTGTTGAAAATTGGATATGCAATTTTTACATATACATTTATATTTGTGTAGAAATAGCTTGGAAACTTTCAGCTTTACAAATCAATTTTCAATTCATTGAATTTTGAATAGATATTTTCGAACTTCTTCTAGACTTTAAAAATATATATTACAATAGTCTTAGATTCATTTGATTTAAAAATGTTGCTACTTTGGGACCATTTATTTCCGACTCCTGTTTCATGCTATTGTTTTAGAATATAATTATTCTACTGCTTCAAAGGCAGCTGTTGCAGATCGCCGCCGGCAACGGAAATCAAAGAAATTGGAAAACATGCCACAAGCCAGTGGACTCAGCAAGAACAAAGAGCGTCGCCAAGTGTGTGTGTGTGTGTGTGGCGGGGGTGGGGGATGGTTAGTGTAGAGGTGCTGCACTGGGAGATAGCCACAAGATAAGTGCACACCAAAAAAATCAGATGATATTCTACAGAAACTGCGTCAGTTGAAAAATACAAAAGGCAGTTAAAGTTGCTACACTCGATTCACCCGCACCATCCCCCCGCAAATCGGCTCTGCTTTTAGGCATGGCTTGTCCTTGTTCAGGTTTCGCTCTGGTTGTGCTTTTCATTAGGGTCGCCAACAACGCCCTTTTGTAATTCCAAACCAGCGCCACGTGCCATAAATTTTGGCTTTAAATGGGGCATGCCCAAAACTGTATCCTGTTAGCAAGACTTCCAATTCCACCCTCTGATTCTCTCTAACTGTCTCTCTCTCTCTCCCTCTCTCCGTCTCTCGCCAACCCTCTCTCGCTTCGTGAGCCGCGTTATCTTACAATAAATTGCTGTCTTAGTTTGCGGCCAGGCCACATTTTCCATTTGCCTGCAACCTAGTTAAACTTTTCCAACTGTTTTCTCACAACTCCAACCCCGTTCCCCGCTATGCCCTTCCGCTTGCCTGAAATTAATATTAATTTGGAGTGTGTATTATTATTTAGCTTGGCAGGGCAACTTTGACGTCGCCGACATCTTATTAAATATGCGGCCAGGCTAAATTCAAAAGTTAGACCCAACAGCCAACCGCCAACAGCCAACAGCCAGCAACCAGAAGCCAAGTTAGCTAAAGTTGGCTGATTCTTTAACGACTTTGCTGGGCTTCGTCTTTTCATAATAAAATGTAATTAAAATTTAACTGCCTGCCATTCTCCGACTGTGGCCATTGCATTCCCAGGCTGCTGCATTTTTAGCCAGTCTAACTACCAAAAAATTTGCTTTCGACAAATGGGCAAAAATGTCGATTTAAAGTGCCTTAAAATTCTTAAAATTCCCTTCTAATTATAAATATAAAATAAATGTTGCTTTACGTTATCAGGAAATGTGTTATATATGTTGGAATTTCTGGTAGATAACATGATTGTCATAGGAAATAACGATTGAAAGATGAAATCTTGTGGGAACAACTAATTTGATTGCCAGATATCCGGAACACTTTGCTGGGCAAATAATCAACATTAATTAATCTTTTGTATCTAATTATTTTTATTCAAATTTTGTAATTAAAATGATTTGTTGAGTTTTCAAAAGTTGAAGCACTCGTGTATCTGCTCTCGCATATCTATTTGCATTTAAATCTAAATTCTATCTAAATTCCATTCGTGACTTGTTGGAATTTAGCATAGCTGCAATAATTCGCCCAAAAAATATCCACTTTAAAAACACGCGCATTCCCTTCGGACCTGGCCAAAAGTTCATTTAAATAAGCCGCCGGCGCCCGAGCAACGTAAAATTTTATACATTTTGGCAACTGGCTGCGTCGCATCGTTCGACATGTCCACCTAAAAAGCAGCAGCAGCTAACAAAATTGCAGCCACGTAAATATTCTATAAATTTTTATGTGTAACTCACCGACTGTCTGACTGTTTTCAGTGTCTGTCCGCCCGTCTGGCTGTGTCCATAGCTTCGTTGGCCCGTATTGCCCTGTCATGTTCAATTCTCTGCCTTCTGTTCAAATACTTGAAACGCCTATGTGTTCCAGCAGCAGTGTTGCCAACTTGGCCGTTTTCAAACTCTAATTCTATGTACAAAATTAAAGCCTAAAAAAAATATCGAAGATGTATTCATTAAAAAAAAAATTGTAAAAGAAATATTGAAAGAAAATGCATTTCCTGATTCCAGAGATTTTTATGCTAAAATCTAAGAACTTAAATTTGGAATTCTATCATCAAATTAAAATATACAATTTAAAAAATTTGAATACAAGTTTGGTAATTCTTAAAAAAGCGTACTCAATCTAAGAATATGATATTGGTTTATGATTCTTAACAATTTCTGCGATTTGAAACGCTTTGAGTCAAAAATATATTCTTTAGTTTTGATTCTTTTGTTTAAATCGGATATCTAAAACAGCGAAAACTTGTAAACATATTTAAGCATTATATTAAACTCAAAATATAGATTTTTTCTGCATTATTTGCCAGTAGCCGAAGCTATTTTGGGCAACACTGCAGGACTCTCTTGCAGTTAGGAGGTGGAGCAGGTACTATTTCTGCCTTTTGCCATTTCCTTTTGGCATTGCCAACTTTCGTTTTGGTTCAACTTGGTAATTGCCTCTCTCATGTAGTTTTTAGTTGTAGAATAGATATAGTAGAAGTTGCCAGGACGAGGCTATGTTTATTCTGTGCACGAGTATGTGTGTAAACACCTTGTCTGGGCCCGTCTGCCATGCGGTATTTTCATTTGCACAAATATTTCGCAATTTGGTTGTAGATTTTGTTTCTGTTGCTGTTTCAGTTTTAATTTCTGTTGCTGTTTTTGGCTTCGCCTGTATAGATATTTTGGCTTCAACGATTCGGGTACTCTTCGACTGGTGTTGCCACGAAACGCAAAGTCAAGGCAATTGCCCATTAGCCTGGGCAACAGATGAAATGCGAGGCAAAGGTAATGGCAACAGCTCATTGGCTAAAACGACGGCAGCAGCAAGGCGCACGCTTTTAGCCTAGAAGTTGGACATAGTCAACGGCCATGATAAAAGTCCCGCTTCTGCTGGCTGAGATCAAAGAGGGAAGTCGATTAAAATTCCACTGAAAATGTTTTTGAAAATGCGAAAAATTCACAAGAACTTGCAGCTGAGATAGCGTAAAAACAAATGCTGACAAAATTCTGCAGAAATCTTGTCCCACAAAAAGGAAGAAATTTCAAATTTTAGCAAAAATATAAATAAGTGAAATATTTGAAATGAGTAAAGAGACTAAATATATTTCTGGGATTACTACGCGTAATATAAATTACAACAAACCGATAATTGTGATTAAAAGACAACAATTAAGTGAAAATACTTTTTTTTTATGATCATAAGAAATGTGTCTGCCTATTGTTTAAATAAACATTTATGCTCGGGATTATTTTATTAATAGTATTTTACACTCACAGATAAAAATGTTAAATGACAAGTGACAAATCTCAATTGTTGAATATAGATTTCATTTAACTAGCCTTTAGCAACATTTTCATATAAATAAATGTTGTTCTGGGCTTTCGGGATTCCATAATTACGTATTCACCATGGCAACAGTATAAATAATTTGTTTAAGCAAGTCTATTAATTTGGGCTCTGCATCAAGTGCACTTAATATTTCAATGTTTGTGTGTGTTTCTAAGACTACCTGAACGCCTGTCGAGCCGCAGCCCTTCAAAGAACCAACAACAACCCTAAACTACTCGTACACACACAGAGGCAGGCACACAGGCAGCCAGGCAGCCAGGCAGACAGACAGACAGACGGACAGACAGACAGAGTATACCAAAGTATCGGGCCAAAATATCAAGTTCGGTTAACAGCAGGTGGCTGGCTGCCACAGCAAAGTTTTCGTTTCGTTCAAATTGAAGCTAAAAGTTAAAAGTTATCTTGGCCCAAAAGGCGAACCCAACTACGCCTGAGTGGCCAAATTCATTTGGCAGCAAAATGCAAATTATTACAACTGACTTTTCATTTTATTTTTGATCATTTCTTTTTGCTTCCCTTTGGCCCGGCTTCATTTTCTTTTATATTTTTAAGAATTTTTTTTTGGCGAATGTCTGAAAATTATTTACTTGGCTAAGGGCAGCTACTCCACAGAGAGAAAGATGTGAGGGTAGCTTCTCTGGAAGTTTTTGCATAACTTGTCTTGGGCATAATTTTCACCGTCGTTTCCTTGCAACGTGAGCATGGGCAACGGGTGGTGTGGCAAGTGTGGGAAGGAGCAACTCTGGCTTCCGTATGTATTCGCTTATGATTTGCTTTTGCTCTGATAAACATAAAGATATCAGACTGAATTTCTCTGCGAGGGTGCTGTCTCTCTTTATAAATTATACAACACACAAACAAGCTTACATGCATATATATATTTATATATATACGAGTACATACATGTGTTATGAAGGGGTTACTGTTACTAGGGGTCGTGCCTGGCGATAAGGCCTGCACTTCTCATTCGTGACATGCATTTTCTCATGCCTCCCGCAATTGTCATGTAAATCAATGCAACAAACTCTGGTTCTGGTTCTGGTTCTGGCTCTGGCTCTGCATTTGGCTTTGGCTTTGGCTTCCCCTCCCGCTTCGAATATTCATTTCCATAATCATTTATGTAGCATTTCAACAACAACAAAAGCAAAGGTTTTCTCTGCCTGCATTTCGCGCTTAAGCGAAACCAATTGAAGCGTAAATCTTGCACGTCCCAGTCGGAACTGCTGATAAAGAAACAAATAATGAGATCTTGACGAGGGCAGCTACAAGCGAGATATATGCATCAAAATACACTTAGGAAAAACAACATCAAATCAAGAATATATATTCTCAAGTATAAAACAATCAGACATGAATACATTTCTATCGTTTATTATAGAATCAAATTTGTTTTCTTCTTTTATGCGACTTTAGATCTTCAATTCATTATTTAAGATTCTTCTTAATTTGCTGTTTTATATTTATATATAAGAATTGTTTCCTCTGTATTATTTTATGCATGGTTACAGACTTAGTGAGAGGGAAACTATGTCAGTAATTTACATTTTCAACAAGTTTTTTTTTTATGAAAACCAGAAATAAATTCCGATCTAAAATATAAAAATAAATTATAACATAAAATGTCAGTTTTATATTTTATTTAAACTCTTTAGAAAATAGTTTATACGTAAGATAATCAATTTTGTATTTGCTTGAAGGACCCATAACAAAATCTACATTTTTAGAAACTCTTCCTGGATATTAGAAATGATTGCTTTGGTAATATTTTTCTATATTGTAGAACATCTTATTTGTATTGCGTAGAGGTTTTCTAATAATGAATGAATTGTAATGCATAAGGTAAGCCAGTGAAACCGGTAACAGTTTAAAATTCGCCAGTTGAATACTTTCGAATGGATTCAACTCAACTCAACTTAACTCAACTCAACTCAATTCAACTCGATGCTCAAACGTATCGATTGCTTTGAGCGTAAGTCAGACGTGACTTGATATTAATTTGCATTTCCATCTACATTTTCAATTCCATTTCCATGAGGTTGTCATGTCTGTAGCTTTAAATGGGACCCCTTTCCTCAGGCTTGTATTTCAATTAAATCGCTTTAAAAGAGTAACCTGAAACGCAACACAATTTATATTGATAGGCAGGCAGTCCACTCACAATCCCTAGTCCGCAGTCCGTAGTCCGCAGTTCAAGTCCCTGTCCAGTTTTTCCAGCCATGTAATTGATGTGCGCGATTTAAGCGCAATTGATAAGCGAACCCAGAAACCCGAACCTCAACCCAATATCGAAACGCAACCCGGCAACGCCTATCCAATGTTACTTAGTATTTGGTAGCTTCCTCTCTGCCTCTGTCGAGCGTCCAGTTTTATGTGCTTCTCTCCGTCTCCGTCTCCGTCTCAGCCACAGTTCCAGTCCCAGTTTGTCCATTAAAAAGTCAGTAACTGTAGCTAATTAAAGCAGGCAAAACTCGAATCAAATTTGGCGCATATCAAATTATGAACACAGCTGGCAGCAATTGCTTTTCTTGCTGCTGGGAATCTGACACAAATTGATGGGCTGACAGAGCTCGGCGATGTGCGCCGTAATATTCACCAGGGATTCCTCTCCGTGCCCATAAACACAGCACAGCACAGCACAGCCCAACACATCACAGCTATCAGCTCAGCTTTGTTTCCCTTTTGGCCCTTTGTCTTCATTTGCTTTTTGTCTAATTTCCCGTTTTCGTTTTAATTACGTCAATTCGCACAGGAATCAAAACATATGCATAAATATGGGTAGACTAATGCTCGCAATCTGAATACAAGTAGTCAGTCAGTCAGTCAATCAATCAGACATTCACATATGTACACATATTTGCTATCCTCCCGACTCAACTCGTCGCATTTGTAGATTTGCTTGGATTTCTACATGGGTTCATCTGCCGAACTAAGCTGCATGCAACACCAGTGTCCACGGCTCGGATTTCTGAGAGAGGCCAGCGGGAGATTGTGAGAAAGACAACACTATTCGTAAGCCCCTAGGACAACTGATATTTTGCTTAAGTATACGATTGCATTCGAAATCGTGTTTTCAAATTGAAAGTAAGCTGGCTGGCAAGGCACATTGCACGAAGTGCGCAGAAAGTAGTCGCAGGTAATTCTTTATTTTTCCATGAATCGGCATGAATTTGTATGGCACTAAAATTAAAATGAAAATCTAAAATCTGGCAGTGCATCATAAATATTTTCGGCTTAAATCGAATGCTGTTTTGTTATTGATTTTATTATTTTGATATTTCGAAATTATTTCAGAGCATTTTTTTTAGCATTCATCTGCAACCTTGAAATTGAGTTGTAGGTTAAAATATGCACTTAATATCTTATTAATCGAAATTAATAGTTTCTTAATTCTAATTTTATATGCCATTAAAATCATAAAAAATTCATTTCAATCAGAAATACGTTGTTAGAAGGAATTATTTATAGAAAACCATATTCGCAACAAAAAAGTCATTTTAATTTAGGGAACATTCTCAAGTCAAATTTTCTGTTCTGATTCCAAGGATTCTTTCCATCCTCAAAAGTATATAATGTTTAGTCCGATTTTTTAAATTGATTTATAGCACAACATTTTGAAAAGTTGCAGTTTTGTTTAAGTGAGAAAAGTTTGACTGTGATTTGAAATGCAAATTTATTAAATAGTTGCTATTTTGTTTTGTTCTCAGCACATAACTTATGAACTATTTTAGCATAATGATCAAATTTAGATACAGGTAGAGATAAGTTCAGCCGTAAGAACCTCCGCTTTGTACAACGAGGAGTCATGCTCTGTCTACATTTCTCCTCCCTTCCCTTCCCCAGGTCGACAAGCAAAATGAAAAAACTTCCAGCGCTCAATAGACATTAGTTACTTTGAAAACCTGCTGCTGCTGCTGCTGTTGGCTGAAAGCGGGAACGGAAGTGGGACTGGGATCATTTTGTGGTGCCGAGCTGCCAAGTTTTTGGACTGTGGCTTTGCGGCGATGGGCACTTTTTTTAGTTACATTTTTGGTGTTGCATTACAAGTTGAAATTCTGCAGTTTTAGCAGCAATTTTGTTTAATTTCTTTCTTACTTGCCGCACGCCTCACAAAAGCAAAACGAGCGTTGTAAATTGTAACCATATATGTATGAACGAACCCAAGCACGAAACCGTGTCTGCCCCCTTGGGTTAGGCAGGCATTCGTTGCCACTTCGCTCCCTCCCCTGACCCTGTGGCACTGTGGCAACTGGCAGCGCGTTTTGTTCGAGTCTGTGGCAAATGTGTCATTAGGCATGTTTCACGACCCTTTGTCATGCACAAATAATTATAATTTAATACACTTTAGCTGCGGCAGGTTGCAACAGACAGGCAGGGGCAGGGATGTTTGCGTCGCCACCCTCAGAGATTTTGACTGAAACAGATTCGCCCCGATTCCAATGCAAACTGAATTTTGCCTCTTTACCCCCCATCCCAGAACATTGTATTTTTACGTTACTTTGTGCCACATAATTGCCGACAATTTGCTGAAGTTGCAGCACACGCCTGGCAATTACCCAAGCCCAGCCAGACACCGGCAGCGGCAGCGGCAGCGCGGGCACAGGATGTGTTTTAGTGCCCCATCCAGCTTAAGCA